CCAAAAATTCTATATATGCTTCTACATCATTTGAAACATAACTCCAAGAGGATCTTACCTGTGTATCTGAGAAGAAGCAGCTGTGGCCTAATGGAAGAGCCAGCCCCTCGTAGAGAATAGGGCTCCTCTGCTCTTGAGGATACTACTTCTGAATCAGGCCTCAGATTTAATTATCTTATTTGTGTATTTTTAAGTAACTGCCTTCATTTACTAGAGTTAGTCCAAAAAAAGGCAGTAAAAGAGTGAATGGAGCAGCAGCGGGCCTGGAGTGAGCAGGCAGCTCTGTTGACTGCTGTTTTTTCCAAGTCACGAGGCTAATGCCTTGTTGTCTTCTTTAAGTCATTGTCCCATCCAGCTTCACCCAGGTGTGGAGAGGGTGGACATAGCATGGATAAAATGTGTCGTCCTTCTTCAGAGATGTGCTGTGAGAAAGCTAGAAACTTCCATCTGCGTGGTGTGTCTGGTTTTCACATTTATGCTTTGTGTGTGGAAACTCCGTTTATTACATACCCTTTCCCATCCAGAGTGAGCTGGGGTGGCCTTTGTTCCTGTGAAAATCTGAGAAACAGATTGTTACACACCTTTCCTTTCTAAAAGCCTTTGGGTTTGGTTTATTTTGCTTATGTCTGGGTTAAATAGGAGATCTATGGGGGTGTGGGGATTATCTACTGCTGTATCACCACAAGTTCCTGAAATAGTGACTCCTACATAATAGGTATCCTATAAATACTTGTTGAATAAATGAGCAGACTAACTGTGAGAACCAACCCTAGTTTGTTGACGACTAGTAATGTATTTTTAAAGGCATATGGTCCTCTGCAAGAGACAGGAGGGAGGGGAGGCTCATTTAACCTCTTGGTAAAGAAAAGTGTTTCTGCAAATGACTAGCTCTCCACTGTAAGCACTGATAGTTCTAGCTTATTATTGTGGAGTGAGTCATGACCACTTTCCAAGTTCAGTACAAGTTTGATATTATCTTGCAGTGATTAGAGAAAATGAAGTTTTAAAAGTCCTAGTCTGAGTCCCCAGAATAAGTCTCTTAAAAGGTGATGTGGATTGAAATTTGCAATTACCAGTCATAGAGGTTTTATCTGAGGGTGAGGTTTTATCTGGGCAATCGCTGGCATTTGACCCTATTTCTCATAGGAACAGTGAACCCTTTTTAAAAGATTGACAAAGATGTTAGTATGTTGTGGAATGTGATAGATGTTAATTCGTGATTGGTTTTCCTACCTGCTTATTAAATGTATTGTGTTTCTGGGTCCCCCTTAGCTGTAAAAATACTTTGTCATTAAAGCATGCAATTTGAGCAGTCATTATTCTTCAGGTTCCATAAAGTTATAGAAGTTTCTCATGTCGTGAAGTGTTTTCCTTTTTTCCCCTGCCCATCAGAGGAGAAAAATCCTTGTAGGATTCTACAGTGTTATTAGTGTCCCCTATACAAACTGAAACAATCAGCTCCTCTTTCACAAGTTGACTTCTTTAAATCACCATAATTACAATTTAATGGCTTTCAGTAGAGTGATGCTGATTGTGCAAGTTAAATTCTTTTCAGTGGCTGAATTTCTTCAGATCTTCTGAAGAAAAACATATGCACTTTTGCTGTGTCATTTGGTAAGAATGCTGCCAACTGATGAAGAACAACTTTAAAAATTAAGATCATGAATTTTATTCCATGAAGATCTGAAGATGAGAACAAATGATGTGTTCGAAAATGATTATTCTTGAAAACACAGGAATTTTGAAAGTGGTGCATTTTGGTGGCTGTCCCTGTTATGTTTCATATCTCCATGTAAGTCACTCAGCCAAGCTCTGCATCTGACCAGGCTGACTTTCATGTAAAGAGGGTTGGAAGCCAAGAGCTTAGGCTGGTGTGAGACAAAGGTGGAACAATGTTTTAATTCTGCACTGTGGTGTCCCCCAAAATAAAACTTCTCTAAGTAATAAAAAGTGTCTTAATGTTTCTTGCCTTATTCCCTCCCAAAAACCAAAGGCAGAATATTCTCTCTGATATGTGGATGCTAATACAATAAGGGGGGCAGGGCGGGGGAGAATAGAAATTCATTGGATTAGACAAAGGAGAATGAAGGCAAAGGAGGGGGGATGGTAATAGGAGAGACAGTAGAATGAATTGGATATAACTTTCCTATGTTCATATATGAATACACAACCAGTGTAACTCCACATCACGTACAACCACAAGAATGGGAAGTTATACTCCATGTGTTTATAACATGTCAAAAAATGCACTCTACTGTCTAAAAAGAACAAATAAAAAATTTTTAAAAATGAATAAACAAAATTCTTGCCTTCCCTTTACTTCATGGGAGGTATAACAGGACATCAGTTCTGAAATGTCTTGAAGCTCCCTCCCCGCTGGCTGGATGCATAAAATTGAGTAGGCTCCATGGAATTTGTTAAAATCCAGCTGGCAATAACTAAAGGAAGGAAATGCTTGATTAAAAGCCTATAGACTCTGGGATATCTAAAGCAGAAATCACATGCTTTCTGAGAGTTATTTGCCTGAGCTCGGGAAGGAAGGAACAGGGACCATATGCGGATAGACGCGTGATCCTGCCCACCTTTTACTGTAATAAACCAGAACCATGCCATGCACCAGAGCATAGTACAATGCCTCACATATACTAAGCACTCCATAAATGCTACTAGCTTCGGTTATCCTCAGTGCTCTCCAGCTGTTCCTCAGGGGGCCATCCCCAGGAACCTTGGATGTTGTATTCATTTTCTATTGCTTCATAATAAATTGCTGCAAACTAAGTAGCTCAAAGCAACACATGCTTATTATCTTGTGGTATTCTGAGTTAAGAGTTTGGGCAAAGCCTAGCTGGTCTTTTACTCAGGGTTTCACGGGTTACAATCAAGATGTGGACAGGTTGTAGTCTCATCAGGAGGTTCAACTTGGGAAGCTGCTTCTTGTAAGCTACTTTGCGTTGTCAGCAGAATTCAGTTTGATTAACTTAAAATCAACTGATTTGGGACCTTAATATGACATCTGCAAAATTTCTCCTTCCATATTCTGTTGGCTAGAAATAAGTCTCAGGTCCTACCCAAACTCAGAGGAGATTGT